TTATTTTGATATATCACAGTGAAAGATTTATCGTCCTCTTTTTTTTTTTTTTTTTTTTTAAAAAAAAAAAAAAAAAAAAAAAAAAAAAAAAATCACTGCAGAATACTATACCTGAATAAGTGATGCTGATTTATTCTGGAGTTTTTCCAGTTTTTCCTTTTTCAGCATTATTAACTTTCTCTGTGCTGAGATTCTTCGCCAATATTTTTGAATGACCAGTGCAGCATAAACCTTTTTCTGCAATCGCCGTCTGGTTAGAAACTTGACAGCAGCTGACTGAATAACTCTTGCCGCTTTGTCCCTTTCCTTAAACGCACAAAAAAGCAAAGTGAAGATCTGAATTAAACAGTAACTTTAAGACATTGCTACACTTTGTAAAATAATCAACTTTTAAACATTACTCAAATTAATAATTTAGCCTAGAAATAAACCTCCCTACCCCAGACTTATGCTCCTCTTGGGGATATAGATGCTTTGGGGCATGTCAAAAGGGTGAATAATTGGGTTTATAGATTATATTTATATGGACAAATAAGGATTCCTAAGAAACGAGAAAGACTGCAGACATATTTGATCTAGCACATATCCCCAGGAAACAAGAAAAAGATGAATTACAATAAGATATGGTTCTGATGTGGATCCAGTGAATTCATGCTTGACTTTAGGACAGGAATAGCATGCAAGAAACAAAACAAAACAAAAAACTGCTTTGCAGTGTAAGATAGTATTGCTTTGCTACAATTTGAACAAACCAATGACTAGAGAGGAAAAATCATATACTTCTTCCTTCATCCCAGATACAGAGTGACATTAAGCCACAGAGAGGAGCACCCAGAGTAGACTGTGGGAACTGGTATCTGAGGTGTGCAGTGTCTGAGTGAGCAGGAGCCACTTGCCCCAGAACAGGAGGGGCCAGCACTCTCCTTACCTCCACTTGCTCTACTTCTGAAAATGAACGCTTATGAATAACTTTCACATCCAGTACTTCATAAATGATACATTTACACTTCATAAGAACAAATGAATAGACATAAGACTTATGACCTGAGCTAACTGAGGCAGAAGTCAGACAGCTTGTCAGTCTACAGGCAATAGCCAGGACTTGATCTGACTTTTGGCTTGACATCCCCACACTTTTCTTTGATCACTTTGCTAGACTCTCTGTACTTAACCAGAGTTAGAAACTAGAATATGAGCTGTTTCCTCTGGTAGAAAGAACAATATTCAGCATGTCTGACCACCTTTTATGCTGCTGTCTGGGTCAGCCCACCATCCAGGGTGGGCTCCACACATGCCAATTATTAGTCAATAACCACCAGTGGACGGTGTCTGTGTGAAGACTGCCAGTGTGGGACTTCAGCTATGAAACAGATCAAGCTGTTACTCTAACATAGGGAAAAGGTACTTAAAAGATTAAAACAAATACTAAGGAACAGGAAGGACCAGGTACTACGGACCACTCCAATGAAGAGGAAAAAAATAAACTAGATGAGTATTTAGGTCAAAAGTTAAAAATACCAGAGGCAGCAGCACTCAGAGGCAGAAGCAGACGGCTCTCTGTGAGCTGGATGCCAGCCTAGTCTACAAAATGAGTTCCAGGCCAGCCAGAGCTACTCAGTGAAGACTCTCTCAAATAAAACAAAATTACAAAAATCCCAAAGGCATCTTAGACAAAATAGACTAATGTGAAATGAAAATTACTTCAATTGCAAGATCAACTTTATTTCAAGAAACTAAATCCCACTTTATCTGTCATTAAAGAAGCTAATAATAGAGAATAAATTCAAAGAGGCAAATATGAAAGAATTAGCAAAGAAAACTTCCATAAGCTAATGATGACTGTCCATGCCTACAATCAGTGACCCTTCTCTGAATCAGACACAGAATCATTTTGAATGCTGTACTCACTGTTACCATCCAGTTACTTGTTTCTTTTTTTAAATTTTATTTATTATTTTTATTTTATGTGTATGTGTGTATTGCCTGCATGTAGGTGAGTGCACCTATGTCGTGCAATGCTCGTGGAGGTCAGAAGAGGCTGTCGGATCCCTTGGGACTGGAGTTATGGACAGTTGTCAGCTGCCATGTGGGTGGTAGGATTCGAACCTGGGTGTTCTGCAAGAACAGTCAGTGTCCTTAACCTCCGAGCCATCTCTCCAGCCCCATTTCTTTTATTTGCCTTACATATGGACCAAATCCTATGATTTACTTTAATTTAGAATTTTTGTCAGGGCTGGAGATATGGCTCAGGAGTTAAGAGCACTTGCTGCTCTTGCTGAGGGCCAAAATTTGATTCCTAGCACTTATATCGCACAGGTTATTACCACCTGTAACTCCAGCTCCAGGGGATCCAACACCCTCTTCTGGACTCCGTGGGTACCAGCAGTCACACATGCACATAAAACACACACACACATACATACACACAAAATGAAAAAAAAAGAAACCTTTAAAACAACAACCAAAAAATAGGATTTATGTCTACTTATAGATAAGAAAAATGAATGAATGTATCAGGGGATCCAGGAAATTATCTACTAGCTTGCTACCACAAAGCCAGAGTGACTACCGTTCTCAGTGGAGTTTATATTAATTATAATAATGGCATAAAAGCAAAATATAAAATCTGAAAAAGCTATCTCAAGATGTTTATATATATGAGGATCCACAGGGAGGATGCAACATTACGCTCCCAGAAGAGATACAAGTCGATGTCAGTAGCACTGTGTGTGGAAATGTGGCCACCAAGAGAAAGCAGAGAATCAGTGGTGAGATTGGGTCACTATGGTCAGATTTTTCCAGCTATGGAAATTTCTTTTACATTAGCACTTTGTAATGGTTAATCTTGGTCATCAACTGACTGAATCTGGAATCAACCAAATAGCAAGGTACTGGGCACTCTTGTGAGGGCTTTTCTTGATCAGATTATTTAAAGCAAGAAGACCCAGCTTCTGGTAGCAGCCCAGATAAAAGGACATGGAGGAAGGGGGTATTTGCTTTCCGCCTGTTTGCTGTCACTATGCTGGCAAGCTCATCTCTACTGCTGCCTCTGGGCATTCTTTCACTGACAGTGGAACCAGAGTCTTTGGGCTTGCAATGTAGACCGGAGTCCAGATGCTCTCCAGGAATCTTCCAGGCTTTCAGCACTAGATCAGGACTGCTGGGACACTGGGCCATGCGGACTGAGAAACTACTAGGTTCTTGGCCTCTCCACTGTGAGATCGCCATCGTTGGACTACCTGGACCTTCACATGTAAGACCGCTTACTAAATTCCCTTCATTCTACATTTATTGGCTCAGTTCTGTTTCTTTAAGGAACCCTGACTAATACACCCTCCATATCACAGAGAGATTTCATAACAAATAAATCCAGAAAAGGGAACTGAATCAGCACATAGCTTAAAAAAATAAAATAAGAATTTTCAAATGATAAGAAACAGATGTTGGAACTGGAGAGATAGCTCAGTGGTTAAGGGCACAGGCTGCTCTTGCAGAAGACCCAGGTTTGGTTTCCCAGCACCCACATGGTGGTTAACAACCATCTGTAACACTAGTTCCAGGGGATCCGATGCCTTCGTCTGACCTCTGTGGGCATGATATAACACAGGTACACTTAAATACATGCAGGCAATACACTCAAATACATTAAAAAATAATAAAATATTTTTTAAAAAGAAACAGATATCAATTAGGATATATATATTTAAGACTGGCTAGGAGAAAATAAAAATTTTCAAAAGAAAACAAGAGTTCTTATGGATACTTTAAAGAACACAGACATCTACTAGGTGATCTGTGGGTAGGAGGCAGATTCTGAGACACTGAGGGGCAGGCAACAAAGGCACTTGGTGGTGACACACTGGCAAGACACCATTTCCCAAAAGTAGCTACAAGGGCTTTGAGTGGCCCAAGAGCAAATTATATCAATTATTGTTTCTAAGTCAGATATACTAGAAGAAAACACATGATGTATAAGAGTTGCTACATGGTTGCTATTTTACACAGCTGAGAATTAAATATTAAATGCAATTCAAAATGGAGATACAATACTGTGCAGTACCTATTTTTGAAAGAGCTATGAGAAATTTTCATTAGATAATGCTGACTTATTTTGTTTGACTTTTTTCCAAGTAAATTAGTACAGTATTACTGAATGGGATAGGAAGACGAAAATATTAAAATTATTCATTTTGATTAAGGAGACCATTTTTCACATTTTAATAAAGATGACATTTTTTTCCCTTCAGAATTAAAGGGGGAAAGAACCATCTTATTTTGTATTAGTGCAAGTTTTTGTAAAAACTGGGATCACAGACGAAGACAGTAAAGAACACCTCTATTACTGCATATTAAACAGCTTGAAAAATCAACAATTGAAATCAAAAGCAGTAACTTACACGTTAGAAGGATAAACTGGAAGAGCGCAAACTCATGACAAATACAATGAGCCTGTGAATTAGTGTAAAATAAGACACTCAGTGCTCACTCCAGGCAGCACTAGAAGAACACAAGCAGCACAAAGCACACCTCAAAACACTACTGGACAATTTCTGAGGTCTGGAGGAGAGGGTGAACTCAAGCTGAAAGGGAAGAGGTGCTTAAGCACACCTTGTTATTCTTCACAAATTTGCAAAGCTGTAAGTTCCTTCCATTCTGCAGTAGACTAAGGGAAAGCACAGAGAGAGGCTGGAGGCAGCGAATGAAGGAAGCGGCAGCAGTTAGAATATGTATCTCTGCATCTCAAAAGCACCCTGCAATTATTTTATCTCAATTTTATCCATTAGTGAAAAACATATCAAAACCCAATCAAGGTGGTATCCTAAGAAATACTGTTCTCATTTTCTACAATTACCTGATGGCATTTTAGGTCTTTTTTTACTTTATATTTCCTCCATGCTGTCTGTATAAGTCGAGCAGCTCTTATTTCTTTACGGAGATCCAACAGCCTTGCACAAAGAAATGACAAATAGGTAATAACCACCTATAAAGAAATACAAATGAAGAAAGCAGAGGGTCAGGAGAGAATGGATGACTTGCTATCACCCTGTGGGACTCATTAAGAGCTATTACCAAGAAGTTTCCACTGACCTTTTCATCTGGAATTGTATTGGACATATCTGAATGATGAATCATAGCAGGTATCCCACCAAGGTCTTTAACTGCAGACCTCACCAAATGAAAATTTTTCTTTTCATTTTCTAGAAGCTCTTTGTATACTTCTGGAGTATTTTCTATCACACAAGAGACAAAGAGAAGTTCAGATGGTTGTGGCCAAAAATTAGGCATGGAAAAGCACAACTCTTAAACAGAAGGGACTAACCATGATCAAATACTTCGAGAGACAGATTCAGACAACCACCATCTGATTCAGATGAAGAATTTAATACCACCGAGCCAGTCTGTGTGCAGGCCACAGACTGAGTAGTTCGCTGACATATAGCATCAAATGGCACATAGCAGGGGTGGTAGTGATGGATCAGATAGCACAGCACACGGCCATCTGAGAAAGACACTGTAAAATTCTCCACCTGGAGGGAGCAGAAAGCAATTAGTTCTACTTAAGCTATTTATAAACATATTGTTTAGTCTTTTATTTTCTTCTTAAAGCTAGAAATTATATTGTTTCTAGTAGCCACATAGTGTAATACCATAGTCACAGCCAAATTCTTAGTTCTTAAAAAAAATAACTATTTCAAAAGTAAGATCTGATTACAGTATTGTTGTCTTGGGTTGGAAAGTATCTCCCAAAATATCAGTCTCTCTCCCAGAACCTCAGAATATGACTTTATTTGAAAACAGTATGATTACAATGAGTTTTTAATCCAATAACTAGCATCCTAATAAGAAGAGGAGGCACACAGAAACACCAACAGAACACTACGTGATGGTAGAGATAAAGATTGGACCAAGGACAAGCCAAGGACCACTGAGGACTGTGGACATACACCTGTTCTTTAAGAGACACACCTGCTCTTTAAGAGACACTGTAGACACACACCTTCTCTTTAATGAGAATGGCCTGGCTGTCATTAAGCTTTAAGACTTCTATCCTACAACTGTTCAAAAAATAAATCCTATGTTAAGTCACCCAATATACAGTAATTTGTCATGGCAGTTTTTGGGAAACTAAGAATGATAGTCATCCCTCATTATTCATGAATACTGAATTAGGTAAAAATGAACAGACAGGAAAAATCAGGTTATCATTTAAGTCTCTGGTCCCCACATTTATATCAACCACAAAACTTTGTTTTATGTGCTTCTGTGATGAAGTAACTTTAAACTCGTGGTGAACAGCATTATGATGTATGCTGAAATGAAGTTCATTTAACAGAGTTCACTTGAAACTTTAGTTTTCCCTTAGGAACACTGCTTGGTGCTTCAGCATGACCATTTTAAACAAGAAAGCCAAAATGCAAGAGACCCAGCACTAAGCAGACCATGACAACAGGAGAGCAGAAGCAAGAGGGCAGAGCATCTCCTGTCCAGCCACCGCAGAGTGTGAATCCTCAGCACTTGCAGTGAGAACTCAAAGAGCAGCCGCTACAGATTTCAACATCAGAAATAAATTGCAGCGACTTGCTGAACTCATGACTAATAACAACCCTATCTTTGGATCTCCAGGATTTCCTTAGAACATAAAAAATAGCCTATGGATGTGACAGCATTTCAGGAAGTTTCTTTGAAATGCAACAAGTCACCATATTCTTAGTAACATGGAAATCTGTGTTGTGGCTCCTGTTTTATATTCTTTATCAAGTAGTTTATATATGTGTCTTGGACATTTTTTTTCATGTATTATACTTAAAAAGTACATCCCAACAGAAATACATTATCAATCTAACAAATTACTATTATAAAGACTCTAAACCAAGCCTGCTACTTCCTTCTGAATTCTACATTTCCTTGCATTTACCTACATCACAAGGTCAGGTTCCTTTCAGGTTCCAATTTTACATAACTTCCATTAAAAGCTTTTCTTTAATTTTTTTAAGTCTTGTACAAAATTTCACACATGTATCACTGTAGCATCCTCGTAGTCATCCCTCCTCCCTATCAGTGTTACATGTCCTCCCTCCAAATAGCCTCCTTCTGCTTTCACATCAAATGTGTGTATAAATATAATCACATATATGTATTTAAATTTAGATGGAGAGAAAAAAATGCAATTTTTGCCATTTAACATGGTTTTATCTTTCTTAGTGATAACATAAATTACTGCATACTATATAGTTAGTGATAGATTAAATAATACATTACATAGACTATGGCATGCTAAAACATTTATTCAGTTTGTGAAAAGTTTGCTAATACATGTACATGTATATATATGTCTGTGTGTGTGTGTGTGTGTATGTGTTAAGCTATTTCAGATATAATTTAGTCAAGGTTTTTTAAATATGTTATGCTAAAGCAAAAACAAAGAAACTAACCTTTTTATTATAGAAGGCACAGACAGCATTTACCCATTCCATCAGCAACTTTACACTTTGACTATACTGCTCAAAGCACCCACTATTCCTTTGGTCTTTCTTCCTAGTAGTAGCAGCATGGTAATATAGTGCTGACATTTCTTTTTTTATACTGTATGTGTGCTTTAGAAAGTCAATTTCTTCCTTTAATTGATCTAAATTAAGGAAAATATCCACCTGAAACATAAGAGGTTGAGTGCATTATATTTTACATATTTCCTTTTTAACCCACAGAAATTAAAATAACAACCTTTACTAAGAGAAACTGGATTATATAGAAAAAAACATAGCTTAATCAGAAATGATAAAAACCTAACTAAAAGGGCTTGGCAAGATGGCTCAGCAGGTACACATCTGCTATACAAACACGAGGGCCAGGGTTCAGACCACCGACACTATATAACGTGAGCATGGCAGCTCACATCTGAACCTCAGTGCTAGGGAATGGAAACAGGTGATCCAGGGGACATGCTTGGTGGCCAATCTAGCCGAAATCAGTGAGCCTTAGGTTTAGTGAGACTTTGTCTAAAAAATAAGGTGGACAGCGATGGAGGAAGACTCTCAACATCAACCTCTGGTCTCCACACGCACATATATGTGCACAAATACACACATGCACACACACACACACAAGCACGTATGCATATAAACACCACACACAGAAATATACGTAAAATATATTTTAGTACAAAAACCTCTACATTTTTAATGGCAAATAGTGTCTACACAGAAGTGGTAGAAATGTTTAGTGGTTAAAAATTTAGAATTCAGGGCCACATAAGCCTGGGTTCTGATTTTAGCTCTATTTCTTTTCAGTGATATGAACTTTAGCTTCAGCTTTCTTATGAGGGATGTGGATATATCTATATTTATAGATGGTATAATAAAGATTAAATTGGAAAACATAAAGCAAATTAGTTACTATCATTAGTCTTCACTTAATTACAAACAATTTTATAGTTGGGCTTGGTGGCACATCCCTTTAATCCCAGCACTCAGGAGGCAGAGGCAGGTGGATCTCTGTGAGATCAAGGCCAGTCTGGTCTACATGGAGACTTCCAGGCCAGTTTGGACTATAGGAGACCTTGTCTCAGAAAACCAAAACATACCAAATAAATAAATAAAACAAAATAAAATACAAAACAAATTATTTTATAAATCATTATTCAAAATTGATTAAAAAAACAAAAGCATGCTGAATACACAATACCTGGAAAGCAAATGCTATTTTCCAAAGCAACCCAAGCGTTTTTTCTCTGTGCCTGTCCACAATATCCTTAGACAGGATAGTATTCCCTACAAGTGAAAAGACCGTCCATTAGCACAATACATGCGCAGATCAATGCTAAGCGAGGACAGTGAGTTTTATTCCTATTCAGTTTTTACCATGCTCATCACTTAATTGAATTCCTCGTGCTTTAAGAATTTGAAGAACAATATCAACATTGTGCATCTTTTGAAGACGACTTATCGCAGGAATCCGGAGTTTCTTTGACAGATTCCAGTTCTGTGTGAGAAGTTCCATGGTTCGCCTACCAGTGAAGAAATTTTTAGATGAAACTGTTACATAAAAGCATACATGAAAGTTCACTTAAATAAAGTTATTACAGAAATCACAACAGTTCAAGGACACCAAGGTAAAAAAAAAAAAAATCCATAAAACTATTTCAAAGTTGCGCTGTTTTAGTTGGTAAGTAGATTTCTCATTTTAAGTCTAAAGGTACAAATACATTATACGAAAGAAATGTAATAAAAAAGCAAGCAAGTCTTCAAGGGAAAATATGAAGTATGAGACATAAAATGAAGATGATACCTTAAATTCAGAATCTTGTACAAATAATGTACAAAGACATTATAAGAAAGAAAGAAAGAAAGAAAAAAGATACATGAAAAAATTAATAGACCTGTGCAGGAAGAAAGGAAGAAGGTGCAGAAGGGAGGAGTTTGGGAGGAAAAACGAGGAATCGTATTAGATATGGTGTATTCTACACATCATAGCTCACACACCGTATTTTAGTTATCACAGTAAATCCCACTATTAGGTGTTGGTATCACCAAGGCTTAGAGAAGTTAAATAATTTGTTATGGTTATGTAGCTAGCAAGTAATGACAGAAATAAGATGAGAACTAAAATCCTGCTTCATGAGTTTCCATAGCTACTCTCTTCCATATACAGAAGATCACTATGAAAATATTTGAAATTCAAACTCTGTTGTATACCTAAAATATACACCTAATATCATCTATATTATTGATGTTTTTATCATGCATAAAATAAGATGAATATAATTAAAGCCAGCCACTGGTAAGGAATTAATGAAGGCATAGAGTGTTATTTTTAAGTGTTAGGTATTTAAATTAGTTTTTGTCTGGACTCTTACTCTGAGGCATCAGTATCTCCCTTCATAGACCCTATCCACTTCTGGGCATACACAGTTTTTCTCAAAAACAAAACTCAAGCTTTTTTCTAAAATCCTAAATTTATTCCAACCTGGGTATGATGGCACATGCCTTTAGTACAGCAATTGGAGATAGAGGCAGGTGGATATCTTTGAGATCTAGTCCAGCTTGGTTTGGAGTGTATTCCAGGCCAGCTGGGACTATAGGGAGACTCTATCTAAAAATAAATAAATAAACAAATAAATAAATAATGAAATAAAAATAGAAAAACTTATTCTGTTACAAGAAAGAATAAGAAAAAATTACAAGTACAGGTGTCCCAATAAGCAAAATAAATCTATAATTTATACTTACACAAGGCGCACTCCACATTGCAAGTCCACAGCAAGATTAGTAACAGCAAAATCAAACTCATCAAGTGGTGTCTGAACGTGGCTCACAGGTAATCCCAATACACTAAGGTGACGGGAAAGGTCACCTTCACCACTTAGGAAATCTCGTGAAAAAGCCAGAAGAAGATCTTTACTAGCCTACAAACAAGAAGCAAGCACTGTACTTCAATGGCATAATTTTATTTTCAACAACAGCAAACCTTCAAATCATTCTGTGCTTACAGAAATAAAATAAGAATATAAGATGACTGTCCATACAAATAAAATATAAATTTCATATTTCCAATTTCAGACGTCAATAAAAATTGTTCACAATTAACATTATACTACAAAAATTAACATTAGTTTGGTAACACATTACATCAAAATTATGAAGAAATTTCTCCCCCAAAATAATTCTGTAGGCGCATAGCCTAGCTCATTTAAAGTAAAAATTAGAAGTAAGAATGACTGGCAAATGGTCAATAGCCAAAAATCAGGCACGGGTCAGGAAGGGAGAGAGTAGGCAGACACTCATTCCAACAGTACTTCAGAACAGTGCCCACTAGAAAAAGGCTCTTTCTGAAAGAAAACACGCCACCAAAGCAAGCAAGTCCTCAAGGGAAAATATGAAGTACAAGATATAAAATGAAGATGATACCTTAAATTCAGAATCTTTACAGAAGAGACAAGGATCGTGATCAATAAGTCTGGAAAGTTTAGCATAATCAAGGAAGCAGACCAACAACAGTAATTTTTTCAATGTGAATTTAGACAAAGCTTCTTCGTGACCTTAAATAGAGTACAACAACAAAAAAAGAAAGTTCATCTATGAAAGGCAAGTTCACCTTAAGATCTGGTAATTGTATTCTAGTACAAATGGCAAGTACTTTCTAGGTATGAACCAAATAATTCTATAGAACAAGTACCATTTAATATTTCCAGTTCATGGGTAGGAATAACACAATTTTACCAGGGAATTTTGTTGCTTTAATTCAACAAATACTTAATGAACACCTACTAAATGCAATCATCCATCATCTTAGGTGCTACATACCACAGTAGCAAACTGAAACAAAATGTCCCCATAGGACTTACAACTATTGGAGTTGAGAATGGGTAGAGATTAGAATAATTATAAATAGTGGAGGAAAAGAGGAAGACGGGATGAGGAAAGAAAAAAATAGTGAAAACAGACACCTATTTGGATTAAGAAAGTAAAATTCGGGGCTGGAGAGATGGCTCAGTGGTTAAGAGCACCAACTGCTCTTGCAAAGGACCCAAACTTGATTCCCAGCACCCACATGGTAGCTAACAACCGTCCATAAATCCAGTTCCAGGGGATCCGATGCCTTCTTCTAACCTCTGCAGGCATTGCATAACATGGGTGCACTTACACACATGCAGTCAATAAAGTCATACACATATAAAATAAAAATAAATTTAAGAAAGTAAAATTCAAACTAATAAATAGGAAGAATGATAAGCCATTTTTGCATAGTGTGGAGAAAATGTGATACAGAAATCCTTACCAACTCTATATAGATGAGGAACAGTGGGGTGACTATATTCAGCTGCTATATCAGGATTCCAAAGTAAGCGACTGACAATAAACATAGCCAAGCCTGTGACATCACTGTTGTCTGCCAAAGGTATCAGCTCTCCATAAACTGTCTGAAAAGAAGTACAGGCAAGGCCAGGATTATACTTTTTCTAAGAAGGAAAAAAATGCTATTAGAGGAGAACAGACAACTATCTTCTAAGGAACTGGCAATGTTGTGTTTCCTAAATGGGATAGAAGTGATCTGATTAGTAACTTTTTTAAACATATTACCTTTATGCATTTTTAGTATATATGATATACTACATAATGTAGAACAAAGTTCAGGGCAAATTTGTTAATTATCTGACAAATACTATTTACATTTTGATTTTTTTTCTCCCAGTTAAAGAGCTATCAAATATAGGCTCATGCATTGCTCAGATTTAATGATAATTGTCTCAGGAAGTATGCCATTAAAGTATAACAGAAATATCATTAAACAAACTTTTATAAAGTTAATATAAACCACCTAAGAAAATGATTAGAGAAGTATAGATATGTTAATAAATGTGAAATTAGTTCAACACTAACATGTTTACTGATGACTTTTCAAGGCAATTAGAAAAATATTAAAAACAAAATTATATTCTATAATCTTACGCTGAAAATGTGGAAAGATTAAAACAAATAAAAGTATTAATACTAATAGTTGCCAAAAATAAAGAAATCTATCCTTATTTGGCCTCTGAAGCTTTTCTATTATCTTCGAAGTTCATACTCCTTTGCAGAACCCTAATGTCTGGGAGTTTGTAATGGGAGGTCAAATGGATTATGACCGATTCCCTATGAAAGGGTTACACATTCCCAATTCCTAGCGCTGGATTCCCTATCTCTTGGGAAAGGTTACCATTTCTGCCTTGACTGTGCTTCAACAGACAATGCAGCCTGGACAGCTTCATAAGAATGGAAGCCGTAACTCAGCAGAAGTCTTAAGGAATGAGACTGAAGTGAGAAGTTCTGGGGTTTTGTTGCATGTAGGATGACAGTAACTATTAAGAATAAAATAATGAACTTCCACTCAAAAATCTAGGAAGGATTATGAAAGTTTTCAACATAAAGAAATGATAAATACTTGAATAAATGTTAAAGCTTATTTAATATAATGTATATTAATTTACATTTATATACATATACAAATACACATTTAATATACAATGTATACATGCATCAAAACACAACAAAGCACCAAGTATTTTTATTTTTATTTATTGGTTAAAATAAATTGAAAGGTGAATAGCTAATTTTTAAAGGGCAGATTAAAAAAGAAAAAAAAGACATTGCAAATCTCTACCTAATAATTTTGCCTACTTCCTGTACCACAAGACTAGGTTCCAAATAAGGGAGGGGGGTATCTGCCTCAAACGAGACTCCAGATTTACTCGACATATGAAGCCAGTTAATAAGCAATTTACTTACTAATGAAAGGAAAGAGTAACCAATTATAAAGAAACTAGCAATGACATTATCCTGCAATGACATCATCATAGTAAGCTGATAATTTGCTCTGAGTCTAAAATTACCAGCACTCAAAAGCTAGATTACTGCAAAACTATCTTTCAGCCCTAAAGATTCTTCTATTGTAAAATGGAATAAACTGACAAAATGAGAGCTCTTGTATGAGAAGTCAAGATCACATAAGCATCTTAGTAAAATACTAAGATTTGGGAAACACAAAGGATGTCTTATCATAAAAGCATACTTAAAAGCCAACTACTAGTAGTAGCTTTCTAACTGAGTCGGGTTTTATTTATTTTTATTATTTGGTGGTTTTTGAGACAGGTTCTCAATATGAAGCCCAGGTTAGACTCAAATTCACTACATAGCCGAGGCTAGCCTCAAACTTGCAGAGATACTTCTGGGGATGCAGGTATGAGTCACATGAGATACTTCTGGGGATACTTCTGCATGAGATACTTCTGGGGATACAGGTATGAGTCACAACACCTGGCTAGTCAGTCAATTTTATTTTTATTTAATGTGTATGAGGGTATTGCCTGCATGTATATAAGTACACTGTGTTATGCAGTGCCTGTGGAGGTCAGAGGTGTCGAATTTCTTGAAAACAGAGTTACAGACAGTTGAACATGGAGTTAGCCACTATGTGATGTGGATGCTGGGAACTGAACCCAGGTCCTCCACGAGAACAGCCAGTGCTCTTAACTGTTGAGCCATCTCTCCAGCCCTTCCAGTCAGTTTTAACCTAGACATCACTAACCCAAGTTCTATATAAATAACCCTGACGCCTTATTAAGAGAAGTATTTCATCAGAATGTTTAGAAAACTGTGCTTTGGTACCACACGGATGAAGATTCAAAGCCTCCCCTGACCTAACATCTTAACTGTCATTTTATTAGTGAGATAAAAATAATAACACATACATCACTGAGTTTAAAAAGAGTCATGCTAGGAAACACATTGAAAACAATTTGATCTTTTAAGATGTTCAAAAAAGGAGCTGATTACACTTCTCACTACATCCAGCAAACAACAAATTAGGTATAAAATAAAAGAATATAATAGTAAATTACTCTAACAATATGCCAATAATTTATAATGGCATGTTCTATTCACCCAGTGAGTATTTATTTAACTGACCTTACATCTTATATAGGAAGATGAATTAGGCTAGTCAAATGACCTGATAATTTCCATAAATAAAACCATATTTTATCAATGTGTATTCTATTAAAAACATTCAATTTTTAAAATAAACTATTCAAAAACTGAAAAATATGCTTACCTCCAGGCCAATTCGAAGCCACAAAGGATTATATGACAATAGCCAATTCAGAACTTTTTGGCGATTTCCTAAAGTGTAGGTTAAAAGAAATTATGTGTATCACTATTAAACAGACAATAAACTTCCAGAGAGAAAATATCAATGCAAAACAGAAATAATGAACTATATTGCTTAAATATATGACCACATTTATGTTTGTAAGATTTAGACAGCACAACTAACACATTTATTTAGTTTTAAAATACAGACCCTCTTGGGTATATATACAAAGGAACTGAAATCAGTATCTGAATGAGATAATTCACTCATTCATTGCATCACTATTCATAAGAGCCAATACCTGCAACCAATCTAAGTGTCTAACAACAGATGTATGGATAAAGAAAGCAACGTTGTGTATGCACACATCCATAAAATGGGATAGCATTCGATTTTCTTTTTTTTTTTTCTTCTTGGTCTTTTTGAGACAGGGTCTTCATGTAGCCCCAGCTGTCCTAGAACTCACTATGTAGACTAGGCTGGCCTCAAACTCACAGAGATCCATTGCCTCTGCCTCCCAAGAGCTGGGATTAAAGGCATGTGCCACAACGCCCAACCTGTATCGTTCAATTTTAACATGGGTAAATGCCATTTGTAATAAAATGGATAAACCTGGAGGTCATTAAGTAAAATAAGCCAGGTAAACACAGACAAGTGCTATCAATCTCACCCCTACACATAATCTAAAAGCAGCACACTCACAAAGCAGAGTGAATAGTGGCCAGGGGCCAGGAAAATGCTGATAACAAGTGTACAAAGTTTCAATTGTAAAAGGTGAATCCTTTGAGATTTGATATACAGTAAGATGAATATAATTACTAACACTGTACTGTGTACCTGAAAGTTACTGAATGATCTTCCCTGTCCTTACAGACAGACAGACAGACAGACAGACAGACAGGAACACACACACAAAGTTAACTGTGAGGGGATAAATATAGCTTAATTGTAACCATCATTACACAAGGTATACCTACATTAGCATATCACTTTAAATATGTACAATATTTGTCAATTATACCTGAATAAAACTGGAGAAAAAGTAAAACAAAATCTTTACAATATTTTGAAAGAAAAAAAAAATCTCAAGATTAATTCACAAGCTTCTTACCAATATCTTTCCAGAGGTGTCTATCTTTTCGAACAATTAACCGTCCAACTTCAATTTCAATTTCAAGTTTTTTAATAGCTTTAACCATCTTTTCAGAAGTAAACAAACAGCATGCTGTGCGACGCAGTCTATTCAACCTGCAGCCAGCAGTGTAAGCTCTGAGAGACGCTTCATCTTTTGTAGGTGCTCTAGGGACACTTATTTTATGTTGATTCTCCACGCCCAAAAGAAGAGAAGCGGCATTTACTGGATAAAAACAAGAGAATGATGCTCCTGATTAGACATGATCTCTACACCTTTTAAAACCCAGCAAGGAAATTTAAGTTAAGATGCTCAGGGGAAAAAAAAAAAAAAGGTTTCCCTACACCCCTCCAAAATCTCTTCTCTCTAACCTTACAGTTATCACCATAACTAACCAAATACCTGTGGCCAAACTCTACCTACAGAATACATACCAAGTCCAACTACTCCTACAGCCTCTACCACCACTCAGTGCCAAACATTAGCATCTTTAACTCAGACTAGTGAAATGGCTTCTAACTAGTTCCTGTTTCCATTCTCTTTATGAATTAATAAAAAGCAAAGCTTCTAAGGAATATGATTCAATTGAATTGATACATAATTTGATTTGTGTGTGTGGGTATGTGTATGTGTTTGCATGTGGGGGGTACACATATGTGCATAGGCATGTGGCGGTCAGACAACAATCTAGGGTGTTGCTCCTCAGTTGTCATGAATTCTTTTCAATTTTTTGAGATGGTCATGACCATGTAGGCTGGCTTTGAGACCCAGGATCTGCTTGTCTCTGTCTCCCCAGCACAATCCTGGCTGCTCTTCTTAGGTCCTAGGGACTGAATTCAGACCCCATTCTAGCACTCTGTAGACTGAGCTTTCTCCCTAGCCTTATGACTGGAATTTTCATAATATATTTTATCTTGAGAAAAAAAAAAAAAAAGACTAAAAATTGGGTTTTATTTCCTTTGGAAAAAAAATTAATGGCAGAAATCATATAGTTCACAGGCTCCTTTAATGAAGAAATCCTGTGCAAATTTCTCTGAAAAATATAAACCATATTATAAATCAGTGTCTTTGGAAAATGCAAATAGTGAGGAAATCAGCATTTTAAAATTGAAATTGATCCGTTATTATTTCTGGGGCTGGAGAGATGGCTCAGCGGTCAAGAGCACTGAATCTTCTTGCAGAAGACCCGGGTTTGAATCCCAGCACCCACATAACAGCTAGCAACAGTCACTAACTCCAGTTCCGGGAGCTCTGACCTCTATGGGCATTGCACGACACAAGTGCACATGCATACATGCAAGCAATACACTCCTTTACATAAAATAACAACATTTTTTTTTCAGCAATTGTCTGAAATTTCTATAACCTTGCTCTGGAGAGATCAGGGCAAGGCCTCAAACCATTCCAGAACTGTTCTAGCAAGCACTGTGGAATGCACAGAGTCACTGCAGACCCAAGCACGCTGGAAGCTTGCTAAAAAATAATATTTTTTAGAAAAGAAATTGATCTGTTATAATTTCTATACAAGATGTAAACTAAGGTTTAGTTTCCTCCTTTATGAGAAGAAAATCCTTCCAATGGTTCCACTCCATCCCACACCTAATTCTTTGCTTGCAGAATAAACACTGAAATATTTTTAAATCCCTCATATGACTTGGCTTTCAGGTTTTTTCATAATCATGTAACTTTCCTACATACTCCTTAAACTATTTGAAGTGAAGTCAATATACCCAAAGAGGCCACAGACAACAGACTGCATCAGCTGACAAGAAAATGAAGAGAAAGAAAAAAAAAAAAATCAGAACTCTCAGCACAGAAAATATGTACATGCAAATCTACATAGGAAAAATTATCTACACACTCTTTAGCATTTAGAAAATCAGTAAAGCCTCATTAAGTACAGTATAATAGTGTACACAGAAGAAATTTACCTTCAGAAACATTTGTTTTGACAGTGAAGTCATCAGGAGTTAACATATAATTTAGCCACCAAGTGAAGCCTTGTTCTTGCTTCTCCTTCCAGCGCTCATCATAGAACATGTTCTTTGCAGCAAATGGCATTGGATGCCTAGGAATATCTAAGAATGCAATTAGATTATTGCATAAAACAATTTCCCTTTAAAGTATCATACAGTATGGTAAAAAAGCATTTATTTATTCATTTATTTTTGGTGTATTAGCACTTTGCCTGCATGTACATAAGCACACCACATGCGTGCAATACCCACGGAGGCCAGGAGAGGGCGTCAGAGTCCCCTAGAATTGGAGGTATTGATGACGCACCATGTGGGTGCTCGAAACTGAACCTGGATTCTCTGCAGGAGCAGCAAGTGTTCTTGCTCTATCACTCTAGCCCCTCCGAAGTTCATTTAAACTAGCAAAATATTTTTAAAACACTGAACAATGTTTGCTGGAATATCAGCAAAGCAAGGCATTTATGCAGGGCGTGGTGGCACATGCCCTTAATCCCAGCACTTGGGAGGCAGAGGCAGGCAGATGTCTGTGAGTTCAAGGCCAGCTTGGTCTACATAGTGAGTTCCAGGACAGCTGGGGCTACAGGGAGATCCTGTCTCAAAAAGACCAAAAAAATAAAATAAAATAAAATAAAATAAAGCATTATTTTCCAGTTATCACATTCTCAATTTGTTAAATATAATGAACACTTACCTGTTTTCAATGGTTTTATGAAGGTCAAATTAGACTGTGCTACAGCAACAATGGGTCTTGTCCTTTTCCTTGTTTTAGAAATAGGTGTTTTAAATACTAATGAATCTAATAAATTAGAGAACACAACATTAAAATTATAGGGATAACATACTAGGATCAAAAGTTAAATGAGGGTGGGGGATACAGGCCCCCTCCCCACTCCCACACCTAGCTGAGGAGCTACAGGCTTTTGATAGCTGCTAGGAAAGGAAGAGTCAGTTTTCTTTAAGGCTGCGGCCCCTGGTAGGCCAACCACAATCCAGGCAGGTTCCACACAGAAGAGCACTTGGGGAAAACATATTGTACTAGATAGAGGGTGGGGAGGAAAACAAAGTTTGGTGGGTAGGGAGGTGAGGTGCTGGGGAAGGGGAGAAATGAGCAAAACAAATCACATGACATTCTCAAAGAATTAATACAAAATGTAGGATCTTTAACTTAAAAAGTCAACATCTATATTCTTAATGCAGTGGTAGAGATGCTGCCTCTCTAGCTTTGTTCAGAGCCCTTGACAATGACACACACAGACTGCTCTGTGCTCTATCGATGGTTTCCATGAAAGCCGGACTTGGTATATTTGTAACACCTGACTCACTCAGTATCTGAAATTAGCACTGGTCAGATGTGCCTCAATCTATTAGACTGGGGAATCTTCCTAAGTTTCAAGTCCCTCATCAAAAGACACAAAACAGTGTAAAATTCACATTTTAATGACCATAAAAATTTTGTTGTAAGTAGTCTGCAAAGCCTGAAGTGTTATGTGAACCACTAGAGAAAACATGCTTATCCTTGTTTTAGATGGCTCTCACATCTACACCTATTTAAAATTAAAAGAATGAGACTAAGCCCCACTGGGTCGCCATTCCCTTGTAGGATCAGTCCTGTCTGTACTGCTCCAGGGCTCACATCTACCCTGCAGGCTTAGCGAGTCAGAACCTGCCCACTTGGTTACCATCTTCCTGCTTCAGTACTAAAACCACTCATACTGTTGGAAAACTATCCACAAGCCTGACTGGAACCATACTATCCTCCAATAAAAACATCAAAAGTGAGAACCTGAAGCACAGACCAACTATTCATACCTGATCAGAAAGCAATCAACCTACATCAACAGTATAAACAGAACCCAACTTCCAATTCAACAAGAGCAAGCTAGAATTTCAAATCAGGCACACAATCAACAAAACAAGCCCATATTCCCAAGTCACAATGCGAAACACAAATAATATGAAAAACCAATAATGTTCCTGCTGAATTCCACCAGTCTTATATAAATGTTGTAGAATGAGAAATACCCAGAGGAACTGGAGGACACAGAACTCAAAAGAACAATCATAACTATGATCAAAGATTTCAAGGACTTTAAGAACACAATTACAAAGAACTCAAAGAGGATAGGAATAAACTCCTGACTCAAGAAATGAGAATACACAGCTGAAGGAAATGACAAGGACAATTCAGGATGCAGAAAGTGAATTCACGGAGGACACAGAAATACTGAAGTAAACGCAAGTTTAATAAAGATGGAATTGAAAAGCTTAATAATCCAATTAGAAATGACAGGAGAAAACCTCACAAGCAGAATGAATCAAATGGACAGCAGAGTACCAAGTCTGGATGATACAGCTGAAGAACTGGACTGCTCAAGCAAAGAATATGAACAATAAAAAAAAACCAACCCACAGGGTTGGAATATGCAGGAAATGTGGGACTATGAAAAGATCAAATCTATGCATTATAGGCATAGAGGAAGGAGAAGCTCAGGTGTATGTCACTGACATCTTCAACAGGACCACAGAAGAAAACTTCCCTAAGTTAAGGAAAGACATACAGATACAAGAAGCACAAAGAACATTAAATAAGACCAGAACAGAAACTCCCCATGGCATAGTAGAGTAAAAATACTACATGTACAGAACAAACAGAGGGTACAGAAAGCTGCAAGAGAAAAAATAAAGAGAAGCCCATCAGAAGTACAGTTCACTTTTCAATGCAAACTATAAAAGCCAGAAGAGCCCCAAATCCCTGAACAGGACACGTAAATCAAACCTCTGCCACCTAAGGCTCAGGAACCATCGAGGAAAAGGGGGAATTAAGATTTTAAGTGCTAGAGGTGGCTGATGACCACAAGGAAAGAATTTTCCAGACAGCAGGGAAGTTACTCAGATAAACTTCCAGCAATGGAAACACTATGCACAATACACATGCAAGTTCAAGTCAGACAAAATCGCAGCACAGAAGTGGGGAAGTGGGGAAGAAGTTCCAACCTTAGCTGAGGTATTGGTAACAGATAACTACAGGGAGAGAGGTGGTATCCTAAGGGTGTAATGCTACATAGGATAACCAGGCCCCAGTGGATGGATGCACACTTTAGAGCATTTAGGTACACAAACCTGGCTAGACAGGCCTTATTATATATGACAAAGTACATGAAATCCAGCAGGGGGGTTGTGAAAGAGATGCAGATAGGGGAAGGGGGTCTACATATGAGCAAAATATATCAGATGGATCAGCTGGACATAGTAGAATATGTCTTTAATCCCAGTACCTGGGAGGCAGAGGCAGGCGGATCTCCGTGAGTTCAAAGCCAGCCTGGTCTACCTTGTGAGTTCCAGGACAGCTGGGCTACAAAAAGACCCTATCTCAAGAATATGAATATATACATACATATATTCATCCAAAATATATATTGGATGAAATTCATAAAAATTCAATTAAAAAATTACACTTTCCAGACATTAGGCTTAAGTCCATATAAAATATTATTTAGATGATTATTTCTCATTGATGATTTTGTTTCTAAGCAGAAAGTGCTGCTCAAATGTAAGACTTCAAATCTTGGGTCTGCAATACTGTAGTGCCCATCTGTAGCTAAGGGAAATAACCCATTACTGTTCTAAAAATGACGGCTAAATTTATTTTCTCCCCCTATCTAGAAGCCTTTGAGAGGGAACTGACACTGATTCTAACCACTCCAACAGCTATCAAAGTGCCCGAAAACAAATCCTGAGTCCATCACTCTCAAGTTCAGCTTTGGCAGACAAAAGAAAAATAAGGAGGAACCCAATAGAGGGATGGTTTTAGAAGCTCTCGTCAAGAAATCCCAATGTACTCTGATAGGAACATTTGAAATTTGCCCTTTTCTGACTTTTTTCTGGTTCCCTGTCTAGAACTTGTAATGCTAATTACTCATCTTTACTTCTCCTTCACATCCCCTAGTCACCAGTCAAGGACTTTTTTTTCTCCCTACAGATAAGAGTTATATATTTGGGAGTCTTTTAGATAGACCCACTTAAGGGGTACCGCAATTGCCTCACTCTGCATCCCTGTTCAGCATGGAAGAAGCCTGTGACCCAGTCTGTGACCCAATTCCCTATTGGCAATTTGGGTAACCTCTTCAGAGGATGGTGTGATAACAGGAGATAGGAATTGGCTAGGCAGTTAGAGTAAAAGCGACCCTAAAGAAAAGCAGCCAGTTTCTTGGCTAAAAGTCAAAATGTCTTTGGGCCTCTTAGCAACATACTATGTTCCAAAGGCCCAAAATGTCAAAAGTATTTGGGAGCTCTTACCCAATCCCTAAAAGGATTATAGGGTTACCTCTTCAGAGGTGGGGAATGTTAGAGTAGCAAAAAGCCCCATGAAAGAAAGAAAGAAAGAAAAGGAAGGAAGGAAAGAAAGAAAAAAAGAGAGACGAAGTTGTCCAGAAAGTGATGGGGAGATATGGGAGGTGTTAGAAGGGAGGGAGTGGGCATGGATTTGATCAAAACACCTTATATGCATGTATGAAATTCTCAGTAAAGTTTTTTTTAATTAAAAAAAAGAGTATGGTGAAATCATAACACAATATATCCTATTATAATATTCTACTTGAACATTTAAAACCACTTTTCTGGGGAAAGTGAAAACTTGAAGAAGTTGGCCATCTGCCTTGAGCCAGTTTGTTTTAGGAACCTTTCCTGGCATCTCATCACAGCTCACTGCCATTCGTACAAAGGCTTAGCTTTTGCTCTGTGGCGCTTCCCAGGGCAGGGCTTAAGCTTAACACTGAGAAAAACTTAAGGCTAGAAATCGTATCTTTTTCTGCCAAGGCCACAAGTCTAGAATAATACATAACATTTAACAGGTGCCTTATCAATGCTGAATAAATGCATCTAGAAAACAGCCTTCTTTATTTCTTTGTTTTCTTTGATTTGTTAGAAGAAAGCTAGAACAATTCTTCATGAGTGATCTAGCTGTCAAAAGTTAAATGCATAAAGTTCTCTCCAAATCTAACAAGGAGGCTCAACTAGGTTGCTGCTTCAACTATATAGTAGGTTTGAGGGACAAAACAGTAGACATTTGTTTATTCATGAATTCATTCATTTCTTCGTCATTTACTGTATGCTTTGTAGAAGGTCAAAATATGTACTTCCTTAAAATCAAAGAATGCATTTGTTCAGAACATATCCATACAGAAGAGCAAAGCAGTGAAATAGCACTAACAGGTAGATGCAATTTATTTATACTTGAATATATAGAGGGAAATTCATTAGGAAACAGAATCAATAAAAGTTGAGATTGTAACTCATTCATTATTCATTCATGTCAAAAACATGAATGAAAAAGAGAATAATAGACATGAATGTTATACGATGCATAGAATGACAAGGAGAGTCTATGGTTAGTCTACAGAAGATGAAAGGACATCAGACTGGATGAAAAGAAATCAGACAATGGATACCTTAAATGATGAACAAGTTTCTAGAGCTCAGACAATGGACATCTTTAATGATGAAAAAATTTTTAAGACACAAGGAACAGCAGGAAGTCATGTGAGTTTCCTGATCAGTGAACAGAGAATACCCTACTAGACACTGACTAGTTGGTCCTCTATTTGAATCGACAAATCAGAACTTTGAGGCTAGATCTGTACCTTCATCAGTATAATCTTTGGTCATTGCCCCAAAGAGATCCCTTTCATTTAGCTTTCCTCCCATAACATTTCAGAATATGGTGAAAAGAACATTTATTTTTTAGCTAGGTAAATCTAAGTTTAAATTGTAGCTCTAAATATTTCATACCTTCTGCGACCTCTGGAAAGTTACTCTTTGTAAACATGATATTATGAAGAAATTGGAGTCAGAAATCCTTCTAGATGGAAGAAACAATTACCTGAAAACAAAGAATAGTTGAGGTTTCAAAGATCACAAGGACGCCAAGGGGGAAGAGTGGAGAGAGCAGGGGAGAGAGGAAAGTAAAGGTGAGGTCAGAAGACAGATGAGTGGTGACAGATCTTACAGGGCTTGTCAATCACTGAATTCTGGCTGTCAGTGTGCCAGGAAGCTGATCTACGAGATGGAACTGAAGAATCCAAGGCCCCAGTATTTTAACAGTAACACTGCAGAAAATCTTTTGAGAAGGCAAGGGTGTAATATCTGTCTACAAACCTTGCATAACAAAGACTAAGTTCAAACAGAAACTTCAACAGTGGTGAGACATGATCAGAGTCTGAAAATATTTGGCAGAAAGACAGAAATCATGTGAAATAAGTAAAGGAGACCACTTGAGAGTCAAGCAGAAACATAAGACTGAGTTAGTATCGAAATAGGGGTTCATCCTGAAAAATATGTATGGTATACAAGAATGCTTAGACAGTACTGAAAGCCATGACATATGATGAAGACATGAAACAAATTAGTAAAAAGATGAAAAAATATTTCTATAGTTCAAGGTTTAGGGGCAATAACATGCTTTTACCAAAGAAAGACAGGAGGGAACAGCCAGTAGAGCAGGAAGGGAAGCAGGAGCGTGACAGTAAAATAAAATGTTCCAGTAAGGGAGTGGTTCAAAGTTAAAACAATCTGCTAATGGAGTTCAAGATGATTTAAGGAATAATCACTAGATTAACAACATGGACATCACTGACCATTTAATTCTCCACGCTGTTTTAATCACCTGGTTTTTTTGTTTGGTTTTTTAAGTAAAACCTAGAAGAATCTTTGAATTAGTACTTGTATATTTTTCTGTGTACAGATTTTACTTGGATTAAAAGCGTTTTGGGGGGCTGGAGATATGGTTCAGTGGTTAAGAGAGCTGATTGTTCTAGCAGATGACCCAGGTTCAATTCCCAGCACTCACATACAAAAACTGTCCGTAACTCCAGTTCCAGGAGATCCAACACCACCTTCTGACCTCCGAGGGCACTGCATGACACAGGTGCACTTATAGACACTCAGACAATATACTCATACACATAAAATAAAAATAATAAAATATTTTTAAAGTGTTTTGGAGCCAGGTGTGGCAGTATATACCCTTAATACTAGACCTCAGGAGGCAGAGGCAAGCAGATCTCTGTGAGATAGAGGCCAGCCTGGTTTACATAGCAAGCTCCAGCCAGCTGGATTACAGGAGACCCTGTTTCAAAAACAAACAACAAAAGTCATGTTTTGAAAGGGACTTATATTAGTTGTTCCTAATTCCTCTCCTGCGCACTGCATGCACTTCAGTTTTGACTATTCTACTAACACTTTCCACATCAAGGTCAATGACCATGGGTTTACAGGGTCAATCCCACCAGAAATAGAGTAACATCTAATACTTCTATTTCCTTAATGAAATAGATGATCAGCTTGGATGAGGTTCAGAACATTAACTCAAGACACTGCCTGGGATAGACCCTGAAAGCCATCACTACTAATTGCGAACTCTGTGAATACTGCACAACTTCTCAACACATTTACTTTCTCATTTGTAGAACTGTTTCACAGGTAAAGACAACACACTTCACATGAATGTTGTAACACTAAACAGGTCATAGTAAAGCACTTCCAACTGGGTTTGACACTAAGTGCTCAGTAAATGTTAGCTACTATAATCTGACATGATAGGAGGAAAAGGGGACTTTAACTTTTTTTATTTTCTGGGGAAAAAGGGATGACATTAACTTACAAAAAAGTTAAATACCAATAAGCAAGGAAAACACAGGCAAAAATAGTTAAGGGTGTAGCAGTATTTAGAAGTCATAAAGACCAATGGGCATAGAGCAGACAAAGATTAGACAGGGGTTGCAATCTGCTGGGTAAGGACAAGGAAGGGCAGGCAGGTGAGTGAAGTGATTATGAAGTATTACAGAATTCAAGTAGAGTAAGAAAAGACAGCCACTTGAGGTGGGGGCCCTGGAAACAATGGTGGACTAGGGAACTGTGCTGAAAAAGTGCAAAAACTTCTGGAGTTCAGTCGAGAAGGAAACACTGGGGTCACAGAGACAGCAACTGGAGCTTGAGCTGCTCTTAGGAGAGCACAGCCCAGGAATGCCAGAACTAAAGGTCAGGCTATTAGAAGATCGACTATAAGGAATTTGAACTCTTGAGAGTAGTAGTTTTGGAGAAAGCATCAGAAGTCAAGTTCAAAATTTTGAGAATAACTATTCACAGCACTCAGGAAAGAAAGGAGTGGTGAGTGAAACACCCTGAAATGAACTTCAAGCTATTTCGTTGTTGTTTATTTTAAAGAAAAGAAACAATAGTTTGGAAATAGATATGAAGAATGAAAAGCAGATGAGAAAAGTATCACCAAGAGACCAAATATATTTGAATATACTTAAATTTTGAACCTTCTAAAAAAAAAAAAAAACAGGGTCTCACTATGTAGCCCTGGCTGGCCTGGAATGTATTTCATTATTTTAAGGCCTATTGAGTCAAATTTGTGTCCCTAAAGGCCTCTTGGTGTGGGTCCATCTAGACCTTGGTTAACCTACTCAGAGTCATACCCTGAAAAAAGACTGACTCTCCACCTACCAGCAGCCAACAGACCCTTAGGTATGGCTGGTGTTTCTTACCCACTTCCCCACAATTTTGCTGGGATTTTGTGTGGCTTGAGTTTACATGGGACTTGTAAATGCTGTTACCACTGCTATGAAGTCAAAATTTAAACAGAAAATTCATGGAAAAAATATCAAGTTTAAATTTGGGCAGAATCACAATTATTTCAAAGTAGCATGACATGTGTCCTGTCTTTGAATCAGAAAACTGCTAAAGTTAATACAAGCTTATCAACAGCATATTACCTGAGTCAGAAGGAGATTTCATTAAACCCAAGCACAAAATATGTTCTTCAAGTATACTTTCACTAGAGATTTTATAGACAGGACTTACCATTTTTCTTGAGGCTTAGTTTCTCCTGACTACATTTTGAGATGGGTGTTCCTCTCCTTTTGGGTTTTTTTAGAGTAGATAAAGTAGAAAAATGGATTCTTTTGATTTCACACACTTCCGTGTGTTCTGCAACAGTAACCTGCCCATTTGCATCGTCCATTTTTCCATCGCTCTTCCTTTTACGAGCAACCGAAGCTGCAGTTGAAGAAGCTATTTCATATTTATAACTCTGAGGTTTACTTGAAATGGGCTTTATAACTGGAAGACAAGAATGCAAACCTTCTTTCTCTTTTTGGCTACCTACTGCTTTTTCACATTCAGCTACTGCACTCTTGAGGCACCTTTTAGCTTTAGGGTTATTGATATCAGGCTGGTTTTCTCTGGCATATGTGGGTTTTCTTTTAGTAACAGTAGCAGAAAGTATTGGGCGTCTCTTAGGTTGTTTATTATGGCTAGAAAGAGAACCATCTCGAACCTCAGAAAATTTACAATGATTGTGTTTTCTAAAAGCGTAGTTATTTGACTTCATTTCTACAGGTTTTTGTTCTTCAAAAATAACTTCGGGAGTTTCTGAACATTCAGGAATATATGCTACAATTTCATTTCTTCTCCAATGCTGAGAAGACTGTGGACCATGAGAATTTTTATCTGATAAAGGTGATGCTATACATGTTTGCTGAGCTATATGCAGCAGGTCATCCTTTGCAAACTGTGTTGGAGATAAAGTAGGATCCACTGACTCTGATATCAGACCTTTATTTAGCCCATAATTGTCATTTAAGAAAGAATCTGGACTTAAAATTCTTTGATAAACTTCATGCACAGTTTGAGATTCCAAACGCAGAGACTTTGAATTATCTTTCCAACAGGTATCTGATGAAAGACTTGTCACTAATTCTAATCCATTATTAGCTGCATGACTGTTATTTACAAAAGAATCTGGACTTAGAAAATGTCTTTGGCTTTGTATATTCAAAGGAGAAGAACAGCTTGGGGTAAGAATAAGCTTATTATTCTCTTCACTTTGGCCACTAATATTAATGGAATTTAAAAGAGTTTCAGTTATGACTTCCTCATTACAATTAAAATCTTTTGAAATGTTGACATCTTGTACTTTTAGTTGTTCCACATTTTCAGACACATGAAGAGATGAGTAGGCAGTAGACCGTCGTAAAAAAAGTGGCAAGCAAGTATCACTCGGGTATTCTTTGAAAGCAGGGCTAATTGGTGAGGTGGGTATTTTGTTATCTTCAATGTGTAAAAAGTTGTTTTCTGTTGGAGAACAGCATTCATTCATAGCCATATTTTCACAAGCCTGCAGTGGACTCCTAACTCTATCAATTTTTTGTGAAATACTAAATGTTTCATTAATACTTTGAATTTTTGAAGTCCTTTTATGATGTGACGAGGCTGGGGCTTTCTTCTTATGAACAGAATTCCAAAGACTTCTCTGCAAAAATAAGTACAATACACTAAAGAAGTTGCCAGCCATTCCCTCCCTATTGTTATTATCATTATTGTTGTTGTTGTTGTCTTTTTGAGACAAGGTCTCCCTGTAGCCCCAGGAGCCTGGAACTCCTTAGGGAGATCAGGCTGGCCTTCATCTCAAAGAGATCTGCCTGCCTCTACCTCCCAAGAGCTAGGACTAAAGGTGTGGACCCCACACCGAGCTTTATTCCCTATTACTTTTAATAAGCAATATTATGCATGTTACTTCAAGCCTCTTACCAAAATAATTGTTCTATATTATTAAACACTTTCAGTAAATCACAGAATGATTAAAATATTACCTTTTTCTTCTTATGTTCTGCATTTCCTAGTAATATAGCTTGATGTTTCAGAATATCATTTACAAGAAATGTCACAATCTCTCTTACTCGCCCTTCTTTCAATGGTGTCCAGTTAATTGAAATGGTAAGTTTTTCTTTCGGCTGTAATCAAAACGATACATTTTAGATGATTATGACAGTATAATTACAATGATCAAAATGTGTTATATACAACTTAAACTATGGATTAATGATTGTTAGTTACCACACTCTAATAGGATTCAATAAGCAGCACCTTTCTCTTACTCTACTTACCTACCCTACTTGTAAGATAAAAGGCCACTAGCAATAGTCCAAAACAAAATAAAATTATAAAGACAAAACGATGAATAAAAATTTAATAAAATCTTGGGGCTGGAAAGATGGCTCAGTGGTTAAAAGCACTGACTGTTCTTGCAGAAGACCCAGGATTGACTCCCAGCATCCACAAAGCAGTTAACAACCATCCATAACTCCAGTTCTAGGGGATCTGATACCCTCTTCTAACCTCCTCCGGCACTGCACTACATGAGTCCACCTACCTACATGCACGCAATACCGTCATACATGTAAAATAAAAATAACTAAAACATTTTTTAAAATTTAATAAAATCTAATTGCACAAAAGCAATAGAACTGATAGTCTCCAAGTCATTTTAATTTAATGGCTTAAGAATGTATTTATACAGCTGGCGATATAGTTTAGTGGTTATGTGCTTTCTTAGTTTGGACACTTGCTGTGATAAACACCACGACCAGCAGTAACTTGGGAAGGAAAAGGGTTTACGTGGTTTATAGCTCACAATCCATCACTGAAGAAAGCCAGGGCAGGAACTCAAAGCCAGGAAGCTGGATGCAGGAGCTACAGCAGAGACCATGGAAGAATGTTGCTTACTGGCTTGCTCTCCTGGCTTACTCTGCTACTTTCTCTAGACAGTCTGGGCCCACCTGCTCACGGATGGCACTGCCCACAGTAGGCTGGGCCCACCTACATCAATTACCAATCAAGAAAAATGCCCCACAGACATGGACAGAGGCCAATCTGATGGAGGAAATGCCTTAACTGAGGTTCCCTCTTCCTAAGTGTTCCAGCTTGTGACAAGTTGTCAAAAAAACTAACTAGTACAGTGGTTATGATGCATAAGACACGGAGTTCAACCTCCAGCTCATTTAAAAATCATGTGTCTATTGTTTATGTTTACTTCTTTATTCTTTAAGCATTCTTTATTGCTACCTCAAATATACCTTATGCAAAAAGAAACGTTAAGATGATCACTCCTCTACTATCTATGTCATAATATTGACCTTGGTTAAGCAATAATTTATGCTCCAAACACTGTGCAGTTAAGTCATTTAGATTTGGTGCTCACATCCCCCGGAAGCAGGGCTTATAATTATGCCCATTTTACAGATGAAGTCATCAATGTACAGAAAGCTTTGCCAAAGTCAGGTAGCTTGGAACGAGAACCCAGGCACTGTGATTCCAGAGTTCAGACTTAACAACCACACCCAATGTAAAACCCTGACAGACAAAAACAATCTTGTTCTTTTGGTAATAAAGTTAAGCTTTTCTTGAAAAGCAGAAATCATGTAATATCAAAATCAACTAATTATGAATAAAACTGAATTTTTCTTCTAAAAACAACTCCTACATTATAATAAAATGAAATCATTAAAAGAATTGCATAAACAGGAAGGAAATCTTTCCATAGAAAGAAATGTGGGCAGTTCATAAATCAGAAGGAAGAGGCAGGTGGGTTCTGAGTATGAAGAACTACTGATGACAGAGGCCAGTCTGCCTCAGATTAGTCTCTTTTGCAGGCCTTCCTCACAAGTTAGTTGCCAGCTACTGTAGGCCTCCTCAGCTAAAAGACTGTTGTTTGGCAGTCTCCACTCAATGAAAAGCATAGAGTAATCACAATAAGCAAAATTTCTGGGCTTTGCAGATGAGAATCGAGAACATGACTCTGGTCAATGCAATGTGCAAAGAGCTAAGGTTTTTGAAAGATTTATAAAATGAAATCTGATGCACCACTACCGCTACATGAGCAGCAATGAAAAAACAAGATTCAAACACAAAAGCACACATTACATATGCATATTGAATACAATCTTGAGGAACTCTTTTTGGGTTTTGACTATGGATAAAAGTTCATTATTTCACCAGACATATAGATAGGATGACTGAACATATATAGTGCATGTTAACATGGTTTTTAGGAAGTAATTAGAAAAGAAAGCTTTCATCAAAGCACTGACAATCTCAAAAAATCGTTTGTGACAGAGTACCATCTATGCTTTGAGAACTGCAACCGTATCTTGCAACGCCTAAAGTCTATTAAAAACGTTTGTCTGTTTAACAGAAACTTCCCGAAATGCTTTTAAGGACGGCAGCTGCACGCGCTTTGAATGGGGGTTCACCCGGCGCAGGTTACTGCCCATTCCTGCCAGGCATCACGGAAACCATCAGTGTCCAGGCCCGCCCGGGTCCTGTTCTAGACCCATCTCTGCAGAGGGCCCGGCAGGGCGCTGTCTCGGTGCTGGGGAACTGTGGTTCCAGTCCCGCCGCCGCCCCGCAGGGACACGCCCCTCGCACCCACCTGCAATTCGCAGCAACTGGGCGACCCGCTGAAGCCCCGGTCCGCGGCGCGCATCAGCAACAGCTCCACCCGCAGCGCCTCCTCGTGCGGGTTGTACAGGACCAGAGGCCGCGTCCGCGACCCGCCCACGCGGACGTCCCCGAAGCAGAGGAACGGCGGCGCGCAGAAGTGGCTGAGCGGCAGCACCGGCGGGCGCGGGGCTCCAGTCGGCCGGCCAAGTCGCCATGGCAGCCGCCCGCCGCGCTGGCCGCCCGCTCCGCACTCCTGGGGGCCGCGGCTCCTCGCCGCCCGCTCCTCGCCTCCTTCCACACGCCTAGCCGTAGACAAGGGACGCGGGACCAACCGGCAGACAACACTACTCCAGCCTTCCGAGCTTCGGTTCAAATTTCTTGCTTCCACCAATGGCCACCTCCGGGAACCGCCCACCTCACTAGAGGACCAATCAATGAGAGGCACCCGCCTACATCCTTCAAGGACCAATGAGAGAGAAAGCGCTCCTGGCCAATGAGACAGCAGCGCCTTGTTTAAATGATGGCGAGGCTGCCAGCTGCGGTATGTGGAGGAAATGAAACAGCAGCTAATCAGGGTTGCCCCTAGCCGGGTTTAGGATTCAATTGCCTTTAGATCTTTTAAAACGGGATGGTGAAGAGGAGTAGCAGCATAGTGTGAACCGCGGCCAGCAGCTGCAAACGACCCATGAGAGCTATGAGTGAGACTTCTGAACGAAAAGTTCCCAGAAAAATATCTTCTGCAAGGTTGATAAAAAACTAAATAACTTCAATGATTGTGGAGAAGTTGGAACGCTGCAGGTTAAGGGCAAAATTTCACACTATTTTGGGCCATCTTTAAGCCCTCTATTAATATTATTAATTAATTAATTAGCTGAGACTCAGTCTTACTATGTAGCAGTGTCTGTCTTTGAACGCACTGAGATCCACCTGCCTCTGCCTCACAAGTGCTGGGATTAAAGGGGTGTGCCACCATGCCCCGGAATCTTTAGCACTCTTAATAGCCATTTATTGCCCTCCTCTGTAACTGACCTAAGCTTTCTGACCATTAGGTAAATCATTCGGAATGTACAAACAGCACTAGTTTTGAACCAACGAAAAACCCAAGAAAACTGTCAAGATAGCATCTGAGGAACAGTTCTCCTTATTACTTTAACACACCTGCTTCCTAAGTGATGAGTTTGACAAATAATACCATTCGTAAATAATGTTTCTATAGGTATCTAAAAATGATTATAGGTTACGTGGTACTACTCTATGTTAGGAACTGTTTTAAGCCCTTTACATGCTTATCTAAACCTTGAACCCTGAGAGGTAGTTCATAAGTACAACTGTATTTTACAGATGATGAATAATACAGGGCACACAGCTAAGTAGCAAGTGACAAAGGCATGTACCCAGGATTTGGCTTTATTACATTGCCTTCTAAAGGCAGCAAGAGCTTTGAAAAAATAATGCATTGATGTATGTCTACAAAAAATGGGTAGAAAAATCTGAGTGGAAAAACAAAATTAAAGACCATGAATTTAAATATAGGGAGAAGTTTATGTCCCCTGCATGCAGGCTGGAATTAGTGATTCACAGTATTAGCAAGGCAGAAATGATACACCATTCCAAGATTAGGTTATGGAAAAAAGCTTAGATCTTGGCTATGTGCTCTTTTGGCTTGCTGTCTAGGATCTAGGGATGTAGGGTGGGGGAGCCAGCTATTCTATCACTAGCCACATAAGACAGCCCTGTGGAGAGAGCATGTGGTACAGAGCTGTGACCAATGACCACAACTTGGAAATAGTTTTCCCCAGGCAAGAGCCTGTAACCCTGATTAACTGATTTTTAGCTTATGAAAGACTTAGTGGAAACTACTCAGCTAAACTGTTCCTAGACTGAAATGAAGATCCTCAAATTGTGAAGTACAAAATGCCTGTTGTTTGAAGCCATTACATTTGACACAATTTATTAGACACTAATAGACAACTAAATACTATACACATTACCTATCATCAGAGGACTCATTGTGCAGAAATGAGCTCCTGGCCAGGGAATTTAATGCTCCTTTAATACTCAGAAGCAGCTGTCATGATAAAATAATGGCTCATGAAGGGCTGGAACTGACTTTGAAAGGTTGGGATGCCGCCCATTAAAGCCTTACAGCAAGCATCTCTCACCAAACCACAATGGATGGTTGCAGGAATGATGAGAGAGATGAGTGCCCAGTTTTAGTATTATATAGGCTATCTTATTTCATTAATGGAATTTCGCTACACTTTAGACTTCATCAAAAACAGCGTAAATGCTTCAAACAAAAGTTATCACTGATACTTGAATCAAAATTACAGTCTTAACAGTTTACACATTAAATATATTTTAAATATGGAACTTATTAGAAATAAAAAAAATTCAAATGGCCGCAAGATATTTGGTTTTTCATTTGTTCATGGTTTTCACATTCAGTTTTTATAGAGGCATGCAGAATACTGTTCTCACATTCTGAAAATGTAATTTAAAAAAAACCCTAGATATGGTTTCTTAGGACCAAAGAACTTTCTATTTATTTTAAATATCAAAATAACACAAAGAAATTAATTCAATATACAAGACACCTCCTAGTCTTCACAAATAACTGGATGTTTGCTATAAAGACATTTATACTTAGGAAACATGAGACAAACAAAATATCTGCTAAACTCAAGGTAGTTTACATAGAGTTGACAATAATGCATTTTGACTTTTTAGATTTTCCTTTGTAATTTCTTTTAAAATTGTCCTTAATTAAACACAAAAATTCTGATTTAAGAAAACAAATTCAAAAGCAA